TCTCTCTCTCAGAGTCTCTCTCTCTCTCTCTCTCTCTCTCTCTCTCTCTCTCTCTCTCTCTCTCTCTCTCGTCTTCTTTTCTGCCGGCATGGCCGATTATGTCTGTTACTAACGGGACAGTTTTTTATCCTGTGCAGTAACTGCAGTTGCCTCTGTTTGGATAGCAACTGACTGAGTTAGACTTGAGATTGATTATTGGCCAATGGCCACTCTTATCTGAATTATCTCGACTACATCTATTTCTAGGTCAGGCGGTGGAAATAAGATACCCAAAACATTTTTGAGTCGCGGATATCGAACATTGACTGTCTTCGGGCAGATGGCTTGTAATTGCCCTAAGCTTCTGTTTTAATCAGACATCCCCCGTCTTTCGTCATCACCAGATCCACTACCGTCTAAACACTGTCAGGTACAAAGAAAAGAAAGGCAGGGCAGTTATCGGTCAAGGTCTTCCTTCACACACAGCTGTTCTCTGGTGCCTGTAACTCCAGTCGCTAGAGACTGTTGAAGCTCAATGCCTGAGTATTGCTGCCAAGTCTACTACAATACCTGCTGCTATCATCCTACGAGTTCGTGTGAAAGGGATAATGGAGATCTCTTTCTGAGTCTCTCTTACTCTCTCATATTCCACTTCGATTCCAATGATGCCAATCCACGAATGACTGTGCAAGGTTTTCGCTGCTGCTTCACTCCCAGCCAGAAATCGCCGGTGCGGGGACTGTACCGAAATTTGTAAAACTTATCTGCAGCTGTAACATGCTTATTACCCACAGAACAGATAGCTCACTGCATGACCCATTGAGTCATTGACGGAATTTGACGTTGTAGCTGTTCCAGCGCAGAGGAGTCTCTCTTGTCACAAGGTGTCGGGGCTTCGCTTTGGACGTCAGCCTTGCTGCCTTGGCCGTCATAGCCAGCTTCTCCCTATCAGTAATTGGAATTGCACTTCTTGTCACGCTGACTAGAGGCGGGCAAAGGACGCATTTCTTGTGAAATCTCAGATCTGCGATCATCATTGCCGTTTGAATGAGAACCAGAAGGCCCCGAAGGGGGAAATTTGGGCACCCAAACCAAGCAGATCTTTTTCCAATGTCCCCTAGATGCTGCCAGCTTGCGTGGTTCAGAGGGAGGAGCAGAAATCTGAGGTTTCAGACACCATAAACCGCGTCCATTTTTTCCCATCGGCGGACGAGACGAACCGATGCATCTCCCCCGGTGGCCCAGCGACTGGTTGACAGCTGCCTCAGTGTCCCTATGGCGACTCTATCCCCGTCCGTAGGAGCAGAATGGGTACTACCGTCTTCCCCCGAACATAACGCACCCTAAAAATGAATGTATACAAGCGATATTTCCAGCCAGATACAGCCAAAATGAGGGTGCGTTGTCTTCGGGGGAAGACGGCTAAGGATTACTGAGAACCTAAGTTAAACCCACTGGCATGTCCGGGAACAGAAATGACAGCAGCCTCAGCAGGGCAGTCCGGGGGACCCACTGGCATGTCCGGGAACAGAAATGACAGCAGCCTCAGCAGGGCAGTCCGGGGACCAGGACTCCAGGGGAGTACTGGCGGAACGAGCTCAGGTTGAATTGATAGCATTCGATAGAATCGATACCGAAGAAAATGGGCAGAAAGAAGCTGACTCTGATTGAGCATTATGGAATGAACATTGAACAGCGAGCACTGAGCAGCGAGCACTGAGCAGTGAGCAGTGAGCAGTGAGCAGTGAGCAGTGAGCAGTGAGAATGTCTGAGTCAACGCTGCAAGTGAGAACTGCCAGTCTGAGAATAAGTTTTGACAGAGAAGAAAATTTAAGGTCAAACTTGTCAAAGAAGCATAGTTGTGTGTATTCGGCTGGGAAGAGTAAGCTTGAAATGCCTGAATTGGGTAGTATAATTCTGATTGCTGAAACTTAGACTGAATTTCCGCCGGCTTTAAGTCTAGAAAGGAGCCCGTGCAAGTTGCAACCATGGGCTTGACTTCGACAAAGTAGTCTGCATTAGCTACGGCCCTACGGGTAGATGCTGGCCTGCTAGGTAGTAACCATCTGACTGCAGATTCGGAGAGCTCAGACTCTCCTGGAGAATCTGACATCCATGCCTGCAAGACAAAATCTGTTGCTGTGCAGTTTTGACCAAATTGTCATTGCATGAGTCATGACTATTGGTGAGTCACTGAATTTAATTTACTAGAAGTTAAGCGGCTCAAGCCCCAGACTGAATAGTACCTGCTGAAAGAGCAGACATTAAGGTTGACTAAACTTGATTAAAGCCTTTGAAAAGCAGAGCAATAAAGGTTGCACGTTGCAAGAATGAAATATTTTTGGTGTCGCAAATTTCTGACGAAGTCCCATCTTACCTGTCCCAGACTCCCAGTGCTCGAAAAAGAACTGCACTGTTACTGCAGGCTTCCAATTTGAATTTCAGACTTAGTCTAACTCTCTGAAGTCTCTGTTTCTCCTGTATGAGCACTGAGTCAGTGAGTCTCCCATTCTCTTGGGTGTGCACTATCTATTATCTAACTCTTCAGTCTCTTCCTTTAGTGAATGGGTGTGTGGAGGCGGGGATCTCTGGACGCATGAAAGTGTGGTCCTGTGTGGATGCATGGATGTGGGTGGGTGGGTGGGTGGGTGGGTGGGTGGGTATAATGTGTGTGTTGTGTGTAGGGTGTGTGTATTGACAATATTGTGACACTGTGTGTAGTGTGTGAGTACTGTGTGTGTACTGTGTGTGTACTGTGTGTGTACTGTGTGTGTACTGTGTGTGTACTGTGTGTGTACTGTGGTCACTGTGTAGTCTTTCCCTGGACTGCACAGTGAGCAGTGATCACAGGGGGGCGTAGTGTGTGTGCAGTGTATGTGTAGTGTATGGCATTGCGTAGTGTGGGTGTAGAGAGAGAGAAAGAGAGAAAGACAGATAGAGAGAGGTGGCGAGAGAGGGGGAGTGGGTGGAAGCTGCTGTCTTTCCCTAGACTGCACCCACGGCGATCTCGCTGAAACGCAACAGCTTCTAAGCATCGACACAGCATACGATGGTGTAGGTCACTTGTGCCAGTATGTGCAACAAATCAACTCGACCTGCTGATTCTTATTGTTATCTGAACTTATCTCCCAGCCAAACAGCATCACCACCATTGACATTAACCTTTCTTCTCAGTAGTCATAACCACCTCTCACTGTAGATGGAATGATTGGCCCTAACCTGCCGCCGCTGCCGGGTATTTTTGTGATTGCCCTTTCCTCACCATGAGAGGGCAATTCTGGTGGTCGCAAGGGGGGGGGA